CAGAACCCGTGGGCTCAGGCAATCCATTCACCTCAGCCTCCCAAAGGCGCAGGATTACAGGCTGAGCCACCGAGCCCGGCTAGGAGTTCCTTTTTTAATGGGAGGGGTGGTGGGATGATTTTTAAAGCTAAGGACTCTCTATAGAAGTACCACATTTGGCTGGGCCTGGTGGCTCACACCTATAATCCCAGAACTTTGGCAAGAGGATTGCTTGAGTCCAGGAGTTCGAGACCAGCCTGAGCAACTTGGCGAGACCTTTTTTCCTACAATAAATCAAAAAATTAGCCAGTGTGGTGGTGTGCGCCTGTAGTCCCAGCTACTTGGGAGACAGAGGCGGAAGGATCACCTGAGCCCAGTAGGTCGAGGCTGCAGTGGCCGTGAGCATGCCACTGAACTCCAGTCTAGGCAACAGAGTGAGGTTTCCGATTCAAAGAAAAAGAAAAGAAAAGAAGAATCATCACATTTATATGACACAGAATTCCTTTTGTTGCCTTTATAGGTGTTGTGTTTAGTGAAAAATTTCAAATATAGTCGGCCTTCCATATCCATGGGTTCCATATCCATGGCAACTAGTCATAATTCTTAAAAAATTGCTTCTGTACTGAACATATACAGACTTTTTCCTTGTGATTATTCTCTAAACAACAGAGAAACAACTTTTTTTTTTGAGTTAGTGTCTCACTCTGTGTCCCAGGTTGAAGTACAGTGGCACAATTATAGCTCACTGTAGCCTTGACCTCTTGGGCTCAGGTGATCCTTCTGCCTCGATTCCTGCATAGTTGGGACTACAGGCACGTGCCACCGAACCCAGATAATTTTTAAAAATTTATTTTTATTTTTTCTGCAGAGACAAGGTCTTGCTATGTTGCCCACACTGGTCTCAAACTCCTGGTCTCAAGTGACCCTCCTACCTCAGCTTCCCAAAGTGCTGAGGTTATAGGTATGGGCCACGGTGCCCAGTTCAGAAACAATTATTATTACTATTATTATTTTTGAGTTGAAGTCTCACTCCATCACCTAGGCTGGAGGGCAGTGGCATGCACTGCACTCCAGCATCCACTTCAGCCTTGCAAGTAGCCGGAACTACAGGTGTGCACTATCACACCCGGCTAATTTTTTGATTTACTGTAGAAATGATATCTTGCCAAATTGTCCAGGCTGTTCTGGAACCTGTGGGCCCCAAAATACATCATTTTATATAGAGACTTGTGCATCCTAGGATTTTATTTTATTTTATTTTTTTGAGTTGGAGCCTCACTCTGTCATCCAGGCTGGAGTGCAGTGCCACCGCAGCCTCAACCTGCTGGGCTCAGGTGATCCTTCTGCTTCAGCCTTCCACGTAGCTGGAACTATAGGCATGTGTCACCACACCCAGCTAATTTTTTGATTTACTGTAGAGATGAGGGCTCCCCAAGTTGCCCAGACTGGTCTTGAACCCATAGGCTCAGGCAATCCTCTCACCTCAGCCTCCCAAAGTGCTGGGATTATAGGTGTGAGGCACCGTGCCTGGCCACATCCTAGGATTTTAGTGTTTTTTAAAAAAATTATCCTGGTAGATACTTTATTATGCATAAAAGTGTATTAAAGCCTGTTGGGAATGTTAACATGTACTGCCATACTTGAGGCTTTTTTTTAAAGTTGTATTTTAAAGATGTGTGGTACAATTCAGGATTAGGTATACAAAGATTTTAGTATTTGAGGGAGGTCCTGAAACCAATCCTCTTCTGATATTGAAGGACAGTTGCAAACGAAAATAGAGATATAGTATAATGAACTCTCAAGTACCCATCACCTAGTTTCAACCATTGTTAACGCATTGCTAATCCTACTTCATCCATACCACACCCACTTCCTGTCCCCATGCCCCCATCAAAGATTACTCGGAAACAAAGCTCAGATATATCATTTCTTCTGCAATACTTTAGTATTTATCTCTAAGAGATAAAGACTTCTTTTGTAAATGTAAGATCAATATAATTATGCCTAATAATTCCTCATCTTTATCAAATTTTGACTGTCTATATTTCCTCAATTATTATATATGAATATACATACATTTTAGTTTATTTATTGAAAATAAGGATATTACATTGAAATAAGGATATTACATTGTGACATGTTGAAATACCTTTTAATTCTTTTAATGTAGAGCTTCCCTTTCCATCTCTATTTTTCTTACAGTTTTTGTTTTTTTTTGTTTGTTTGTTTGTTTTTTGAGTTGGAGTCTCACTCTTTTGCCCAGACTGGAGTGCAGTGGCCGCTCCCTGCTGGGTTCCGGCGATCCTTCCGCCTCAGCCTTCCAAGTAGCCGGAACTACAGGCATGTGCTACCACTCCCGGCTAATTTTTGATGTATTGTAGAGATGAGGTCTCGCCAAGTTGCCCAGGCGGGTCTCGAACCCACGGGCTTAGGCAATCCACTCACATCAGCCTCCCAAAGGCGCGGGATTACAGGTTGAGCCACCAAGCCCGGCTCAGTTTTTGTTGTTTTTGAGAAAACTAGGTCAGTTGTCCTATGTAATTTTTCATGATAAAGTCTTGATTTTGCTGATTGAAACCCTGTGGTATCATTTGGTATCATATTTCTTATAAATTTGTTATTTTGAAATATTTATACATTGTAGAACACCTAAATTGAGCTAATTAACATATGCAAGGTAACATAACCTCACATACTAATTTCTTCTATTTTTTTTTGAGTTGGAGTCTCACTCTGTCGCCCAGACTGGAGTGCAGTGGCACGCTCCCAACCACCACAGCCTCAACCTCCTGGGCTCCGGCGATCCTTTCACCTCAACCTTCCAAGTAGGAACTACAGGCGTGCATTACCACGCCTGGCTAATTTTTGATGTATTGTAGAGATGAGGTCTTGCCAAGTTCCCCGGGTGAGTCTCGAACCTGTGGGCTCAGGCAATTCACTCGCCTCGGCCTCCCAAAGTGCTGGGATTACAGGCTGAGCCACCGAGCCCGGCCCATACTCATTTTTTGTAATCAGAACACTTAAAAATTTACAGTCTTGGCAATTTTCAAGGATACAAAACATTTTTATTAACTATAGTCACCATGTTGTACAATAAATCTCTTGAATTTATTTTTCCTAACTGAAATTTTGCAAGCTTTGACCAACATCTCCCTATCTCCCTACCCCCACATATATTTTGACCATCGAACCATATATTACCATGGGCCAGTGTATTTTTCTGTAATAAGTTGCTTTGGATTTTTTCCCTTTGCTTTCACGCAAGACATATCCTTGTATTATCAGTATCTCATCTAGAATCAAAGAAAACTCATTTGAGACTGTGTCACAGAAGTGAATTAGACAGGAAAAATGAGTTGTTTAGCAGAAGTAGAAGTATGACAAACTATAAGGTATAAGGAATTTTGCACTACTGCAAATAAACAGGACAATAAAAAACATATGAGAAGTCATGATTGATGACATAATTGAAGTCACAATTGATGACAACCCAGATGTTTTCAAGTATGTCAATTAATTTGGAACTGGCCTATGAAAACTCACTGTGGTAGACTCTGTTTCTAGGACCTAGCTAATTCCAAATACTAAACTAAAACTGAGAAAAAATATTTAGAACCTTCAGTTAGTTGTAACATTCTTTTTCTATGCCACATTCTTACTACGCATATACTTGACTCTGTCAATATTACATAAAGAACAGATACCATACCTGAAAGCCTATTTTTGATCCTGGAGTCCTATTAATAATTGCCAGCTGATGACCCTGCTGCCACTTAAAGAACAGGTGTTGAGTCTTGGCATCAGGCAGACAGGCCTTGTGGTCTCGCATCAGGTCATTTGTGATAAACTTGCAGTGATTCCCTGAGTGCAGTGTTGCATACAGAAGGAATGGGTCATCCTCTGAGCTGAATCAGGCATAAGAAAGGACACAATCAAGCACACCCGAGGAGGTAAAGGACAGCTTTTCCCACCATACTTTCTTCTTATTTTCCTACTTTCCTTAGAGGTGCCTCCGAATTCTTGATCTACATGATCTCAGTGATAATTAGGAATCACCTGGAAGCCCTTAGCTAAAAAAGCAATACCATCTAGAACACAGACGGAAAGTTGAGGGGAAGAGAATGCTAACTGGGATTTAACAGCTCATTAGGCTCTCCTATTAGAATGAGTGAATTCTTTTTTTTTTTTTTTGAGTTGGATTCTCTGCCGCCCAGACTGGAGTGCAGTGGCCGCTCTCGGCCACCGCAGCCTCGACCTGCTGGGCTCTGGCGATCCTTCTGCCTCAGCCTTCCAAGTAGCCGGAACTACAGGCTCACACTACCATGCCCGGCTAATTTTTTGATTTATTGTAGAGATGAGGTCTCGCCAAGTTGCCCAGGTGGGTCTCGAACCTGCGGGCTCAGGCAATCCACTCACCTCAGCCTCCCAAAGCATGGGATTACAGGCTGCGCCACCGAGCCCGGCTAGAATAAGTGAATTCTAACAATTCTCTCTTCATACTCAAAAACTTGTTCTCTATGGGCATCTTTCCTATTTGCCTCACCCATCACAGAGCACACCTTTTTCCTCCTTTCCTCACTCAAATTCAAGAAACATCCAAAATACTACTAGGGCAAGATAATACTTTCTTGCAATGACCAAACAACTGGCTGCCAAAGTAGTTTCTGGGCAGTCACCTATATCAGTGCTCAAAAGCATCTCCTGCTTTGAGAAGAGCCAGTGATTCAGAGTCTCCAACAGTCCCTCAACCGTAGCACTTTGATTTATGTGCTGTAAAATGGCCATAACTATCTTGGCTTAGGAGATTCGGATGCAACATGTCATACACCTTATGTCTTGATTCAGATGACCCAAACAAAATAGGACCATTTAAAGTTCACCTTATCCTAAAGTATTTAAAGTTAATGATAAAATGACAAAGTCTGCCTTAAAACTCTCCAGGAAAAAAATAAAAAGAAAAAAATGTGGGGTTTCATGCAACAAAATTAGCAAAATGATGGTAATTGTTGGAGCTAGGTGACAGTTACATGAAAACTCACTATTCACTATACTATTCTCTCTACTTTCACGTATGTTTGAAAAGCTTCCTTGGTACATTAGTGGAAAATAAGAGTTACTGATAAAAATTTATATATTCAAATCCAAAGCCAAAGAAGGCCAGTGAATCAATTTTTACAACTGAGTTTGGAATTTCAGCAGATACAATAAATACAGGCCCCAAAATAAGCAGTGAGACCAATTTCCAAAAAGCTTCTTGGGTATAACACTGCATTTATGTAATTCTTCCATATAAGAAATAATAATGAGCCGGGCTCGGTGGCTCAGCCTGTAATCCCGCACCTTTGGGAGGCTGAGGTGAGTGGATTGTCTGAGCCCGCGGGTTCGAGACTTGCCTGAGCAACTTGGCGAGACCTCGTCTCTACAATAAATCAAAAACTAGCCGGGCGTGATAGCGTGTGCCTGTAATTCCAGCTACTTGGAAGGCTGAGGCGGAAGGATCGCTGGCGCCCAGCAGGCGAGGCAGTCTGGGCAACAGAGTGAGACTCCAACTAAAAAAAAAATAAAAATAAAAATAAAGAAATAATAATGATGATGATGACAGCAACTCATATGATTTCTAAGTACTTGGTGCTGTGCCAAGAATTTTACATGTGTAATTTACATGTATTATCTTATTTAATCTTCACAACAATCCTAGGAAGGTTATACACGAAGAAAGGAAGACACAGAGAAGGGCAAAATCTTTCTCAGATAGGAAGCGGCAGGGCCATGATCTGAACCTGGGCAAACTAATTCCCAAGTCTGCGATCCTAATGTCTACTCAGTGTTGCCTAAAGTGATTGTATAAAGAGCATTAAGTCTTCTACCTAATGGCAGAAACACCCTCTCCCAGCTAAAGAAAAAGGAGATTTGGTTTGATATCTAAATGAGGGGCTAGCTGCCCTGCTTCATGCACTGAGAGCCATTTTACTTTTTTTTTTCTTTTTAAAGAATGAATGATTTGGGGAATACTGGCAAATCTTGAAATTATTACATTCAAATAAATGAAACCTAGTTGTGGAGCTGAGACATACACACTCATTATTCAGGCAAAGTTGGAAATAACTTTTGTCAGCCTAAATAGTATGAAAACCTAAATGCGCATTAAAGGTTCATATGCACCGTGAAGGATCTGTGCTCCTTCATATAAGTTGCTTTCTTTTTACTTTATGGACACTATAGATTTTGTTACTGACCATGTCTGCCATGTTCCTTTGGCTTCCTGGGACGGGAAGTTGCAACTCAATAGCAATTTTCTCTATATATTTAGAATAAAAATCCAGACTTCTTGCTTATCTATCAAGACCCACGAGGTCCTCTCTAATGTGGTCCCTGCCTTCTCTCTGACCTCAGAATCTATTATTTTCCCTCTTGCTGTTATAGCCCATGCACACTGGCCTTTTCCTCTTCCTGCCTCAGGGCCTTTTGAACACTTGCTGTTCCCTCTATCTCGGAGGGTCTTCCCCATCCTCCTCAAATGTCTCACTCCTATCAAATTTGCCCCCTCAGAAGGGTATTTCCTGGTCACCCCCAAACACTACCCTCTTACCTATCGCCTACCTAATCCCTTTCTATCCACTTTGCTTTATTGTCCTCATAGTACTTATCTCTGCCTGGAATGATATTATGATATTATTTGTTTATATGTTTATTTGTCTTACTGTTTATTTTAAGTTCTAAAAGAGCAGGGACTTTGTCTTGTCCACAAAACAGGTGTTCATTTTTGTCAAGTATTTGCTAATGATCTACTTAGGCTCTTATGGCATATATTCTGTGTACTAACCTCACTCCTGACTTATCTTCCCCATTTCTTCTTTATCCTGATTTCTTCATTTGTTCAAGTTCTTCCTGTTATAGAAAGTTTAAGTTCTTCCTGCCTCAAATATTTTTTTAAATGGGGTTGAGCATACATATATACATGCATTTTAAAAATAGGTTTTTTTTTTTTTTTTGAGTCAGACTGTCACTCTGATGCCCAGGCTAGAGTGCGGTGGCACGCTCATGACCACTGCAGCATTGACCTACTGGACTCAGGTGATCCTTCTGCCTCAGACTTCCAAGTAGTTGGAGTTACAGGTGTGTGCTAGCATGCCCAGCTAACTTTTTATTTATTGTAGAGATGAGGTCTCGCCATGTTGCTCAGGTTGGTCTCGAACCCTTGAGTTCAGGCAATCCTCTTGCCTCCACCTCCCAAAGTGGGATTATAGGCGTGAGCCACTATGTCCGGCATTTTTTTTTCTTTTTTTTTGAGTTGGAGTCTTAGTCTGTCACCCAGACTGGAGTGCATTGGCATTATCATGGCTCATTGCAGCCTTGACCTCCTTGGCTCAGGTGATCCATCATTCTCAGCCTCCTGAGTAGCCGGGACAATAGATGCCCATTACCACGTCCAGGTTATAGTTTGGTTTTTTGTAAAGGCAAAGCCTCACTATGTTGCCCAGACTAATCTCAAATTCCTGGCCTCAAGCGATCATGCTGCCTCGGCCTCCCAAAGTGTTGGGATTACACTGTGAGGCCTCGCGCCCAGTCTAAAAACAGGTTTTAGAGTAGGTAACTAAGAAACAGGTGACTGAAGCCCAGTGTAACTTACCTATTACCTCCAATACTTACATGTTATCAGCAAAAAAACAGCTAGCTTGCTTTTGCACTTTTTCCATATCATTCTGTCTCCAGCGGGAATGCTGCCTTAGCATATGCTTCCGGCCCAGGACAAGCAGTCGCAGATTCTGCTTGGCTAGTTGAGAAACTACGTCCAAGAGCTAAAAACAACACACACAAAGCCAGCATCCAAAAGGGTCAAAGAAAGACTCTCAAATAAGTGGAGTAATTCTTTTTTCTGGTAAGGAGTAAGAATATAGTCTGTTATAATTTTCCATCTTTGAAAGCTTAAGGAAAATGCTTCCCTATTATAAATTAGTATCTAACATCTTCCTACTGGTCAGGCCACGTTGGATGCAGGGAGGCTTTTCTAAGCACAGACTAGTTCAGTTGTTTTTAAACTGTGTTCCCTAGGCCACAGGAAAAGAAATAGAGAGGCTCAAGAAAGATGGGGTTTTGTTTCTGACACACTTCAAAACCTGTTTCAACACAAACAGCTCAATCTTTGTATATTTATAACATTGGTATTCTGCATAAATTTTCTTTTGAAGAAAGCGTTCTACTTCTTTTTTTTAAGTTTGCAAATGATTAAACTAGGTAATGACTTTACAGTCAACTTTTTCATATCATGATTTTACTGCTAAGACTGCTGCCTTTCACTGAAATCTCTTTCTCCCAAAGATCTGTCAACTTCCACCCTCTAGTCTAGTTTCCAGTCAATTTGTCCCCATTCTCTCCACTTCTCACTTGTCTTGTGTGCACATGAACTCCTCAAAGGTCTAGACTTGGATTTTTAGCAAATCTAGTACTTTGGTGAGCTTGCCTATACTCAATCTTTCATAAGGAAAAGTGTATAAATTACTTTCATGTACAACTTATTTAACTAAGCTGTGAATGAAAATTGCTAAGTAAAACACAACCTGAAAAAATTATGTTATATAACAATGCATCAGAAATATAAAGTCTCTTTAATTTGTAAGAATTGCTGGACCCACAAAAATCACAAGTTGGGCCGGGCTGGGTGGCTCAGCCTGTAATCCCGCACTTTGGGAGGCTGAGGTGAGGGGATTGCCTGGGGCCGCGGGTTCGAGACCTGCCTGGGCAACTTGGTGGGACCTCATCTCTACAATAAATCAAAAATTAGCTGGGCATGGTAGCGCGCGCCTGTAGTTCCAGCTACTTGGAAGACTGAGGCAGAAGGATTGCAGGAGCCCAGCAGGTCGAGGCTGCGGCGGCCGGGAGCAGCCACTGCACTCCAGTCTGGGTGACAGAGTTAGACTCCGACTCAAAAAAAAAAAAAAATCACAAGTTGGAAGTTATAGAAGAAATTCTTAATTGTCTAGGATTTTGGTTGGACTTACAGTTTCTACAGCAGGATAAACTTAAAAAGATGAGGAAGTCAGGATAAAAAAGAAATAGGAAGGTATGTCAGGAATAGGTCTTGGGTCTTATATTGATTTTAATTTAGTTTCCCCTTACTCATAATTTGTTCTCCTGTAGATTTTCAGGACATTATTTAAGGTCCTATAATCAATAAAATTAATTCATTTATTTAGTCAGTTATCAAATATTGTATTAGCACCTGTTATGTCTAATATACACGTAGACTCTGAAAATCTAATAATGCATTAGCAAAGGCTGAATTTTTACACATCATTTAATGCTTTAGATTTATACTGGATTTTTGTTCATCCTACTCTATTACTAATCTTATTATTTCAGTAAGAAGTTTTAGTCCTAATTATTAGTTTCTACAATGGAGACCCAGAATGGTTGAGGTATGGTGGATCACATCTGTAATTCCAGGATTTTGGGAGACCAGAGTGAAAAGATCACTTGAGGCCAGGAGTCTGAGACCAGCCAGGGCAATAATAGCGAGACCCCCAACTCTATGAAAAAAAAAAAAAAATAGCCAGGTGTGGTAGTGTGTGCCTATAGTCCTAGCTGCCTGGAAGCTAAGATGGGAAGGTTGCTTGACCCCAAGAGGTCAAGGCTACAGTAAGCTCTGCTTGTGCCACTGCACTCCAGCCTCGGCGACCGAGTGAGACCCCTTTACTTAAAAAAAAAAAAAAAAAAAAAAAGACGTAGAATAGACACAACTTGCCCACTGCATGTGAACTAATATTCAAGTAGGTAGTTAGCTCAAGAACACCAAATCCAAAGATTTACAACTAGTAAAATATAATTATTTCCTTCAAAGCTAGGTTTGTGGCTTCTGTGTTCATTCAATAGTTATTTCCTAGACCTCTCTATGTATAAGGTATATATATTAGGTATCACAGCTATAAAATTTTAAGACATAGTCTCTGCCTTTAGTAAGGGTGTGTCCAATATATTTCTTATGCAGCTATCAAACCTGGGAAAACATATGCTGGCTCTATATATCTTGAATGGTTAATAAACATTTTCTGATTAGCTGAAGAATATGCCCAACATCCATATTTATCCATAATAAATAGCACTTACTGAAAACTTGAAAAATGAAAGAACCGCTCACAGCTCACTATTCAAAAATTGTTCATGTCTATTTGCCAATCTTTTTATTCTACGCATTTAAAAATATAATTTATAAATTATTATTTTTAAAAGTTGGACTAAAGCCGGGCTCGGTGGCTCAACCTCTAATCCCGCACCTTTGGGAGGCTGAGGTGAGTGGATTGCCTGAGCCCGCAGGTTCGAGACCCGCCTGGGCAGCGAGACCTCATCTCTACAATAAATAAAAAAACCAGCCAGGCGTGGTAGCGCAAGCCTGTAATTCTGGCTACTTGGAAGGCTGAGGTGGAAGGATCGCCAGAGCCCAGCAGGTCAAGGCTGCGGTGGTCGGAAGTGGCCACTGCACTCCAGACTGGGTGACAGAGCGAGACTCCAACTCAAACAAAAAAAAAAAAAAAAAAAAAAAAAGTTGGGCTAGTAATCAAAAGCAAACATTTAAACATTTGCACTAGGAAACTCTTATTCATGAATTCAAACAGCTCATAACACATTGAGAGTACATCTTCTTCAGAATGCACTTATAATATTCCTTTTTGGCTGGATGCAGTAGCTCACACCTGTAATTCCAGCACTTTGAGAGGCAGAGGCTAAAAGATTGCCTGAACCCAGGGGTTTGAGACAAGTCTGGGCAATTTGGAGAGGCCTCCTCTCTACAAAATATTAGCTGGTCATGGTGGTGCATGCCTGTAGTCTCAGCTATTTGGAAGGTTGAAGTGGAAGGATTGCCTGAGCCCAGCAGGCCAAGGCTGCAGAGGCTGTGAGCATGCCACTGTACTCTCTAGCCTGGGTGAGAGTGAGACTCTGACTCAAAAAAAATACACACACACAAAAAACCCCCCAAAAACAATTCTTTTTAAAGCTATGTTGAGATTATAGATTACTTTCAACAAGTCCCAGATACAAATGGCAACTGGACCCATTAATAGGAATCATAATCACTTTTTTCATTTCCATATGAATTTCCATAGTTATTGTAAAGATACAAAAAAAATTCAAAAACAATTTTTGATGCCTAAGTTTCCATGCAACTGGTAAAGACATAGTTTAAAAATAAACACAATTGGGTCTTCACAGCTATATTCCGCTTGAGATAAATGACCCTGAGTTCACTAATAGTACATTACAGACTGGAGCCCAAGGAAGAGCAGAAAAGTTTTATTTTGAACTACTCTGGGGCACCATCTTGTGGTGGAGAGGTCTCTACTAGCAGCAGCTCTCTAAAAACAATGAAAACAAAGGAGAATATATATGAAAGACAGGAACAAAAGATGAATGTGCAGAATAAAGGGACTACTAGCCTGAAACCCTGTGACAATCCAGCTATGAACTTATTTTCTCTGGGATAAACTCCAAGGCTAGATCCAGTGGGCTGGGTCAGAGTCAAAGGTATATTTAGAATTTAAAAAAAGTTATTAAAACTAAAATCTAAATCTAAAATCCTATGTTAGATAAAAAATAAAACTGAGAGGGAAGATAGAGCAGATGTACTTCTCCCTATATCTTTTACTAAGTACAGTTAAAAACCCTGGACATTATCTTTAAAATAGACATAAGAAGATTTTGAAAGGAAGGGGGGAAAAAAAGGGCAAACTGGCCAAGGACCTCAAGACATGAGGATTGACATGGTGATGAGTTCCTTTGGTTTTCTTTTTGCTCCATGTTCCCAGACTTGGGGCTGAAGAAGTTCTCAACCTGGAAATACCAATGTGTACAGACCAAAAAGAGGCCAACAAAGGTCTTTTTCTCTCTAGCCAAAGGACCAGGAAAGAGGCAGTCTAGTCAGAAAACTTGGTAAAATGATGACAAGTTTGACTGTGATACTGTGATGCTGCATGTGCATGCATGTATACATACATTGAGAGCACCAAAAAAAGTGTATACTTTTTTAATTTTTAAAATTAAAAAATAAGCATTTATTGAAATATAATTCGCATATCATATAATTCACCAATTTAAAGTGCTTGTGATTCAATAGTTTTAGTATGTTCACAGATATGAGCAACTATCACTGCAGTCATTTTTAGAATATTTCATCATCTCAGAAAGAAATCCTGTACCTTTCAGTTATCACCTCCCTACCTCCCCAATACCCTCAGGCCCTAAGCAACCATTAATCTGTCTTTGGTGTCTATGGATTTGCCTATCCTGGACAGTTCAAAAGAATGAAATCATATAATATGTGGTCTTTTGTTTTTAGATTCACTTAGCATAATGTTCTCAAGGTTCAGTCATGTTATAACGTGTAACAGTAATTCTACACATTTATGAAAGGAAAAAACTGTATTAAAATTGTAATACTCAGTATATACCGTTTGACTCCTGCAATTACAAGAGGTTCTCAAAGTGATTACCATCAGCGTCCAGACACTTCTGAAAAGTACTTCAAAAAGTAACACATAGATAATATCACTCAAAATGTGTATACAATTTTTGGCACCCTCAGTGTGTACATGTGTGTGTATGTATGTACTGTATATATAAAACACCTACAGCCAGGCGTGGTGAACTGTAATCCCAGCATTTTGGGAGGTCAAGGTGAGAGGATTGCCTGAGCCCAGGGGTTTGAGATTAACCTGGATGACTTGGTGAGACCTCGTCTCTACAATAAATCACAAAAATTAGCTGGGTGTGATGGTGTGCATCTGTAGTTCCAGCTACTTGGAAGGCT